AACGCTGTTGCCCACAGCCAGATCAGAATCACCTGGCTTGGTGGAGCCCCTTTCCCTGCTACTGTCCACCCTTTGCTTTCCCGGCAAAGAACCGTTTCCTTCACAGGCTTCAGAGCTCTTCCCTGTCCATTGCCCTAGCCTGGGAGTGAACTCTGTCCTCTCTTGCTTCTCCCTTGTGCCTCCTGCTGGATGGAAGTAGACTGAAGCGCGTGCAATGCCTAGCACCTCTCCAGGAGCACAGCTGTCTCATGCGTATTTTCTTCCTCCTGCTCTTACTCAAGCCCTCTGAGCTTGCTCCATTCCCCCCTCACTGCCCTCTTAGCCTCTTGTCCCTCTAAATCAGTGTCTTTTCCCTCCTTCTCTCTGTACCCCCATCTTCCTCCTCCCTGGACCTCTCAGACACTTAGTTCCTCCTTGCCTCTTTGTTCCCTTTCCCCATTCTCTCTTTATCACCCACCTTGTGTGCAATATGGAAAGAGACCCTGTAAATGAAATCAATTTATACTGTTCCCTCTGCTTTGGCCCCCTGTTTATGCTCTGGTGATGCACCTTTCTGACCTTGCACCCTCTGACTGAGGTTCCCTCCATTTTTGCACTATGTTGCTAATGTCCCCAACCAGTGGTAGAACCAGAGGGTTCAGGCTGGAGAGTTTGGTGTAGTGGAGGGCAGGTCCCTCAGTCAGTGTGGGGCTCGCTCCTGACTAATGAGGCTGCCTTCAGGTGAGACTGGAACCCCTACCTCCAGGTATTTCTGGACACTCCTCTTTTTCTCTAGTTCCTTTATGCTTTCTTGGACTTTGACAGTCTTCTATTTAAATTCAAGTAGTAACAGTTGTATTTGCGTGGCACTATCTTCTAACTGGATCCTCACATCTACCACAGAGGGAGGAAATAGAGGCCCAGAAAGATCAAAGTGACTTCCCAGTCACTTGCAGTAGCTGGAAGCCTCTCAGGGATTAGAACCCAGGTGTCCCAAGCCCAAAGCATGCCTCAGAACATCACTCATGGACGGTGATAGCTTGAGCTTCTTGTTGGACAATGAACAGCTGCTAAGGATACATCAACAGAGAGCACAGGGTTCACTGGGATGGGGTCCAAGACGTGGGCAGGCGAGGGTGCCAGGAGGTGGAAGGTGGGCAAAGAGGACCACCACTGCTTCACCACTGTCTCAGCTCTGGCTTTGCTGATGTACTCCTCTGCCTCCTGTGCCTGGCCATGCTGCCACCCTCCCTGTCACTTCAACCAAGTCTCTGTTAAAATAAAACAGATTCTTAGCCCACTCTGTTTGTCTTACTTCATTATCTTCCCCTTCCCCCGTAGCCTGTATTAGGATGTTTTAGCCCTATGGCAATGGGGCCAACGACTTCCTGGAGGGGAGCTGGGAAAAGCT